TGGTGACCTATCAACGCATTCTTAGTGTTTTGGCCCATTAGATCTGAGGTTGACAGAGTGACAATACCATGAAATGTGCAAATACAGCTTTTGCATGTACCAGGCGGATGACCTGACTGGCCACCACGAGGGCGAGCCATGTGGAATAGATCATCGTCTAAGGACTTGGGGACGAATTTGGCAGAGAGTACAGAGAGTCAACCGACATTTTGGAGGGGACATCTTGCTTAAATATTTGACTCAACTGCTTCATGGCTTCAAATTTCCCACATCAGGTCCCACTATGCGCCGCCCTGGAAGAAAGGAAGACGGAAGCAGAGTGTGGTCGTTAGCTTCAAGGCGAGTCCACAAATTGCAATATGTCCGTCGCATCCTCGCCGAGGTGCATACAGAACCCATTAAACATCCGATATCAGACCCTCGTCCCCCTCCTCCGTAACCAAACAGAACATTTTGTGTAATGGAGCTCCCTATGTTGCTTGTTAGTTAATTTAGCTTTGTGATAGCATGGTCTGCCCCACTGTCTCATTCTAACTCCGTAAGCGTAAGTAACATTGTCTTTTGCCAGGCCGAGGAAGCAATCTGAAAGTATCATAGACCGTAGACCCAATGAGGCTATTGCAACTAGGCGGCGAGCAATAAATGCATCCTTTCCGCAGATTTTCAAGGGTCGTCTGGTGCGCACCGGACCCGGCATACCATCGAAGTTGACGGGGCAGAAATATGAATGGACCATTGCCGGCGCAAGGCCATGCGATTCATTACCATTGCCCTCCTCCGAGGAGTTTATGCAGGTTCCGCTGGCGCAGCATCAGTTGATTGGTGTGTTCGGATGCACTTAGATACGAGCGTGCCAAGGGGGCTTGTTCTTAATGAAATTGGGGCACAAGATTACCAATAGTGCGAAATTTCTGCCTAATCATCCAATAAAGGCCAGGATACGCGACTCAGGTGTTCCTGGCACTAAGCAGGGTCCGTCCCATAGCAGATTAACACCATTGGTAGGTCCCGCTCATGAGCACTTGGTAAATGCTTCCTAACGATCTTAGTGCTATTGAGGGATCGCGCTAGTGAGATCTTACACTCTTGACATAGAACTGTACCTATCCGTTAGGAGGAAACACCCAAGTAAAATTAACCATTGACTGACATCTCACTCTCTACTATATGAGGGAATTAATTTATAGATCATATATCGCTATGGGCGTGTTGTAGTATGTCTTATCCATTGGCGGAGAACGTCTGCATATTATAGTATGCCCTATCATTATGCTGGAAATCACGAAATTAGGGCTACAGGTCTATATTGTATTTAGCAATCAACTTATTACTCTATTGTTCTTTTCAACCAACCTTCTACTCGCTGTGCTCAGACATTAAAATTCTTTATCCGAATCATTAGGTACAAATATTCTTTTGCCTCCCAATTTTAGTGATTTTAGTATCCATTAGTCTTATACTACTCTTTGATGACACCTCACCGTCTATCCATCTGCATGAATCCTTTCATCTCATAGCGATAAATGATGGTATAGACGAAGAAAGTAACTTATAAAGTATCATTTGTCTACCGATTATTTGCGCAGAAGCGGCACTTTTGTCTTGACATTTCGATATAGTAGTTGTGGAAAGCCTAATGGATACTTTGAAGGAATCTAGCACAGGGACAATCTCTGTTACGAACCAGGTTCAAGAAGAAAAGCACGCTCTGCAAATAGGTCTCAGATCGGAGCTTTTCCGTCTAGACTCGCCACAACAGACGGTCATCTAAAGGGCTGACTAGTCCTCCGATGCTGGTAGTCCTTAGCTTGTCAATATGTCTGGGGGCTCCGGTTGTTCCCCTTGTAGCAGATTCAGCCCAATTTCATCAAGTAAGAACGGCATAACAACGCCTTTTTCCCGTTGTATCCGAACCACTCGACATGTGGAAATACTCATCGGACTTGAAGAGCAGGTAACCCAGACTCAGGTGAGGATATGGGCGGAGGAAGAAATCCACGTAGTCATAATAGTTCCAATAGTGGTGCCAGGATGTTTTCTACAAATCCTGCGACAATTCCAGCTAATATTTTATTGAGCCCACAGGTACATGATCGTATCTGCGGTGTTAATTCTTTGCAAGGTATCATGATGTTAATTTGGAGAAATCTGCGCAATATAGTAGGGAATGCCTAACCAGGCTAGCGGCAAATACCCTGGATTCAAAGTAAATCTAAGGTAATCTCCCGCCAACACCAATCATCGTTTGAGTTCCATCTCATAACTGCGAGAAATGTCTCATGCCGCTTGCATTTGGGCTGAGCTTGTCCTGATGAAGATATAGTCCACAGAGGGAATCCTCCAACTTAAAAAAACGGCCCACAGGTTTACTCTGTGCTGATTGGGCCGCCATTTAGCCGAACTGCAAGATTAAGCAAACTGTCCAAGACACTCGGAATGCGATATCATTGGCTGACTGAGGACCCCGTATAAGCGTCCAAATTTGGGGCTAAAGTATATGTACTGATCGTTAAAAATCTGTGTAGTTTTCTACTCAGGCTAGTGGTAAGTACACTATCTTAGATTGGATCTAGACCTGTGCTACCTCGGAATACCTCACTCCTAACCATCTAGCACGCCAGGGGTTTGTTCACCAGGGCCAGTAGCTACAGCCTCGCAATTTCCGAGCCTTCGGCCGCTACGCTTCCCTCGGAACAACGACATCTCCAGACCTGGCCACTTGCTCATCGATCTCTTGGTTGCTAAGATATTTTGACAACAGACTTTGGCGTGGGGCCGTTCAATGGCTGTCAGGATCGGTCGTGAACTGAAGAACGACATAGAGGGTGGAAGAGAGACAGCGTCAATGACAACGAGTCCGCCGGCATCAGGCAGCAGTGCATAGCTCCCCCTAGCCCGGAGAGCCTCTCCGTAAAATTCTACCGGAGGAGAATCTGCTATCCTCCGAGACTATGACTTTAACACGTAGGATGGCTCTGTCGCGGAAGATCAGCCCCAGGCCCGAGAGGCAAGCATTTCTCCGATCAAGATTGCCTGGTGGATCGTGCCCCACCTCAAGTGAGCTTCGCTGGACCACCTCTATAAAGTGCACTCACGCTAATCATCGGTAAGCGGCAACCGCTAACGCTAGCCAGGCTTTCCCCCTTCCTATTTGGTAGAATTGGATAGCTTCAAAATCATCATCATTATGTTGCTTCATGTTTTTAACATAAAGCAAATCTCAGAGGAATGAGAAGCTTGCTAGGTTGTGAGTTGACGTGTGGGAGTCTCTCAGTGGCACGTGACCCGTTGTCTTAACCCATCAAGCTGAATAGAAAACTGGTGGGGCCATCTGAAGAGGAATTAGATAATGCGCCGGAGAGTGAAGTAGACACTTTCCAAATGCTAGTAGTGGCCACAGTTTGGATTGGATGGTTAGGGAGACAAGGTACCTGCACCGAATCTAAATCTACACACTCTACTATATATAGGCGGATAAGGGCTAAGATGTACCTAGAAGTCCTTTCTTCCGACCATATACACTAATATATAGATACTCATGGCCAATTATTTTAGAGGCTATGCTTTAGCCCTTAAGAGACCAAGAATCCAGGGCACTAGCTCGTATTCTACTGGACTACATGATCAGCATGACAGCATCTCTACAATCTGGGATTGGGAAGCACCAGTCCCTGAAAGCCTGAGTACATATGAAGTTCTGCCAACATACAATGCTTAAAGATTAACAGTCGATTTCAAAAGAAATAGATAAGATAATGAGACTAATGTCAATAGACATGTTGAGACACATAAATAATTCCAAGTAAAGGAAAGTAGATTGGCTGTTGCCTGTGGATGAATGAATGAAAGGGTAGAAAAGGGCTTTGTTTAAATAGACACTATTGATGCTTCTTAAACAGAATGTATTAAATCTTAATGGCTTTGGCCTCAAGCATAACAGAAAACCCAGGCTGATGCCTTTAGTTTAGTCAATGGCATGTCATGACTCATTGCAGCTTCCATACTGTTATTGCCTGTGAGCGAAATCATTGGACATGGATCCATCTGTCATACTCTCTACTCTTCAGATCTAAATCGCATGGGCCTTGTACCAAGTAGGAATACTTGCTACAAAAGATGCGCCTAAGAATCCGACTGTTTTCCAGTAGGTTTACTCTTGTACGGAAACATATTGCGTGTTGCATATGGCATAGGAAGCAATCAGCACTACTAACCCGCCACCGCGGAGTTTCTCAGCTATGGGTTAAACAGGAAGCTTGAGAAGCACAAAGTTCCCATCAAGATTGGCGACCCGGAGAATACTTTTCTATGATTCTTCGTGACATCGGCCGTGCTCTACAAGCCAGCACTCTCCTTAGCCATACCAGTCCAGGGCAGGTCCCGGATCGATCAAAGCTGACGTTCTACTACGAGGCTCGACATTTTGCCCACGGTGACGACCTTTTCTATTATCCAGAAGCCAGTAACTAAGTTGTTTTCTTTAGAAGCATTACCTGACTTCCCTTGCCTAACTATTCCTATCAATCTTCCCAATCTTTCAGACGTAAAAACCAGCCCGTCAACGCTTTTTCTCTGTGGGTCGCAACACACTATAGACCTGGACGGTACAGCGGATGGTATGCTACTTAAAACTCGTCGACTATTATCTTATGTTAATACGGAATTCAACACACTTTGCTGTTTTAGCGAGCACTTCTGGTCAAGATCTTGGCCACGCACTCAACCTCCTGAAGGACATGTAGCCACTCTGCATCGCCTCCATATGCCATAATTGTAGACCTGCAAACAATGTAACATTGCTTTCCGATGCCTTGAGTTTGGGTAGTACTATAGCATGATTGTAAATCAGAATTCATTGAAGTCAAGCCCCTTCTCAATCGCCTAATAAAGGAGTTCTAGGCTATTTCTAGGTTGTGCACCAATACCTAAGTACATAGGAGAGTAACAACTCCCCTTATGGTTAGTTCTTATTTTCCCCGTTTTAGCTAGCTTCCTGCGCCATGCATGGGCAACAAAACCTGACCGCTGTTTCTCTCACTCCTCCAACCGAACTGTTTCTTATAATCGCTCAGTTTGCAAACGCTTTGGAGCCCTTTTGCTTGTCAGTGACCATGGACGATAGTGCTATAACTACAGAAATGTTTACCTCCCTGGTGTGTGCTGACGCGGTGCAGCGTAACCAAGAGCTGATGCAAAAAATTCAATGGGCGCTTGAGGAAAATCCAGCGGCCGATTTGATGGCACTCATCCCTGACTCCTATCGCCAGATGCATCAAGAATCACAATTCAAAAGTCCGAAAACAAGTACTGCTATGCTCAACCAAAGGACCTTGAATGTGCTCAACGTCTTCCTAAGGGAAGATCCTGAGATCAACTTACTATCGGTTTTCCCTCCGAACTATGCTCGGCGTTATCGACTCGCGGCCCAGTCTTCGATCAACCCGTTGGAGCGCAAGGTGACGAAACCACGGAGCCCTCCGGACTTTCGCACGCGTCTGGATACTGCGGAGACACCTACAATTGTTTTTCCACTATCTCAGAACGTAACGACCCTGTTGAAACAATTCTCCGAGTCCGATGCACAGCCAACGGACGCAGGGCACGCGCTACTTGGACCCTTGCGACAACTGCTCTGGAGTTCCCAAAAGCTATGTGAAAATCCTGTAAGGGGTGTTGTCGTTAAGTGTGATGATGACCTCGTTGCAAAAGTTGTCGTAACGAGCGGTGACTATACAGAGTACACGACTCTGCAGTACCTTGCTGAACGGGCACCGGAGATTCCTGTTCCACGACCTCATGGCTTAATTAGAATTGGGCTCCTTTGCGTTATTTTTATGACTTACATCCCGTCTATGACGTTGACTCAGGCATGGCCTACCCTCACACATCAAGACAAGGTGTCTGTGCAGCGTCAGCTGGATGGCACCTTCTGCCAATTGAGGACGCTTCAAAAAGATGAATACTATTTGGAATGCGTTGAAGGCAAAAGAGTCATGGAACACACAGACAGTTCAATACTCAGCGTACCTCCTGGATGTGAGGATCTCGAACGTACTACTCCCCATCATGGCAGTAAAACTTATGTCAAATTCCTCCATTCTTTCCTTACAGATCCTGTTCAGGGATCAGTCTTCGCTCATGGCGATGTCAGAACTGATAATATTATAGTGAAACGGGATCACAACAATGCCTGTGTGGTGACCGGAATCATTGACTGGGAAGATAGCGGGTTTTATCCAAAGTACTATGAATGCACTTCATTAACAAGGACATTGTCTCTGACGGAGGAGAATGACTGGTATTCCTATTTGCCAAGGAGCATTTCCCCTTTACAGTTTCCTATACATTGGCTCGTTCATCGACTCTGGGACATTCATGTGAAAACAAGCTAGACTAGCACCTCAGTAACGCTTCACTCTTGTGATAGTCTCTTGTTGTACCCAGATCCGGTGACACGCTCAGACTTCATCCGGGCAATGTATGTAATAAGTGAGTATTAAGACTGACCTTAAACACGTATTCGAGTTATGTAAGTGAGCAATGCTGAGGAACACTTCAGAGATCTATACCAAACCGGTGCCAAACAAGCAAAGTCATAGCCGCCATACCACCACACAGGACCATTGGATCTAGCCGTTGGGCCATATGGAGATAGTCAGGTGTAGATCCCTGGCGGCACAGGCCTTCGAAGAAGGGCTGGAGATAAACTGGTGACGAGACGCTCAACCAGGCCCCTACCCACGCGAATCCCACCACCTTCTTCCACACTGGCGTGGAGGTGACCACCTCGACAGCACTCATCCTTCCGCATTTCTCATTGCTCTGCACCGCCTGTTCCTTCCCTTGTTTTTCGGTAATGCGACGCCAGAGTTCCTGCACACCATCCTCAATCATAAACGCGAGAGTGAAACTACAAAAGAAAAGCAGAGAGCCGGACTTGCGCCACGGGACTCCAGACAGAACGTCACTGATGAGATGGAGAACACCAGAGAGCGTGAACACAAAGAGAACATGCATATATCTCCCTACGAGGTGTGCTTTCGTCATCCCGAACCCGTTCTCCGCGATGGTGGTGGATATGGCGCTAAAGGGCCACCGTAGCCACTGGTGCCAATATACCCCCCAGAACCGCCGCAGGGTCCACGCCTCACGGGCGCTACTAAAGGCAGGAGGCCAGTCAAGCGGTTCAGTCAGCCCTACCGCGACTGAGGCGGCGCTGGCCAGTCGGTAAAGGCCGTCAATGCCTAGGCGAAAGGGGAGAATCCACAACAGGGGCCAGGTTGTGTGCCACAGCCCCCAGTCCCGGAAGCCGGGGAGGATTCGGCCGCAAGGTGTATCAGGTTGCATCGTCCTCTGAAAAGACAGCACCACCAGCCAGACCGTGTTAATCTCCCACAGGCCAATGGTGATCTGCCTAGCACAGAAATCGCCATGACTTAGACTCTTGGCGCCGTCGAATGACGGAGGAAACGGAGGAGTGTTTTTCACCTGCCATTTCGTGCGGACGCCCCTGTAATTGCACAGCATAGACAGTCCGCCGCAGATTCTTTCCAGCGACGTGGAGTGTGGTCTACGCAGAACCTCCGTTGCAGGTCCGAAGCGTCGACTTCAACCAGTGTCAAGAGGTTGATTGCATGACAACTACTCAGGAGTGCATCGATACCAAGTTCTGCTGCGATCATCGGGTGAATGTCCAGGAGTGATGCAAAAGTGCCTTGCACTACTGACAAGCACAACAAGAGGATAAGACCGAGCCGTCTTGATAGGGCACCTTTGTTTGTGTACGCTATCAAGATACTGCAAAGGATGTAGCGAGCGACAAAAGCACAGGCAGGAAGTGCTCGGACAACAAGCCGCAAGAGTTGAGGAAGCAATGAGTTGAGGCCGGCAGTGTCTGAGCCCCAGGAGACATTCGCAGGCATTTGCACCCGAGACAAATCATGTCGAAGTGTGACATGATGTAAGTCTTCTATCATATCGTCGACGGAGGACCTGAACGACGCTGATGTCAAGAGACTGAAATCAACCGAAACTAGGATGAGTTTTGGAGTTACACGTTAGTTATAACTACTCTGCCACTATGTGACTCGTCCAGAGAGCCACGGTAATCCAAGCTCAGATGCGGTCCTCATCCTGCACGGTTCCAGGGCAGCTGAGATTTGCCAAGCATATTTCATCGATTCAAAGAGCGCCGCAGGCTCTACGACTTAAGGGAAGGATGTTTCCATACGCTCCCTGAAAGCTATCCATATATGAAGTTTGGTTGATGAGGTAGCTTTGTATAGCTGCGACGTTCCATGCATTTGCCGGAACAGGTTTATCTCACGATTGACAAGGCAATTATTTTCCTGTAACTACTTACTAGGAACAACTCTGCAATCAACCCAAGAGGCAGCAATCTGAATTCCAAATACCATGCTAAGCCGGTTCCAACAGGGGCTGAACCTTCCAGTAGCTGTGGAGAGTAGTCTCTGACATATCTCCGCGTCGAATGTCTCAGATATCCACAATCGTGATGACAGTCAAGAAAATACCACAGTTGCATGCAGAGGTGGTAGTTCTTATCTATGATAGCGCCAGACCCTCCAGAATAACGTTAAAACGGACACTGCGGGGATCGTGGATCAAGGGCGACTTAGGGTTACATCCAGCACATCTAAGACCTAGGAAGTGCCTGGACAGAGATAAGAACTTGGTATTGAGATGGATGCAACCAGGGAGCTCTGTATTTCCAGTGATTATCCACCTAGGAATGGCTAATGTTGAATTCATGGTTGTTTTCGACTCCATCACAGCACAAGGTACGGGGTACAGCGCCTGATTGACACTCTTCCATTTTTCTCGGCGTCGGGTTAGTGACAACTATTACATTCTTTCTGTCAGAAGCTCAATCTTTCTATTTCTCATTTTCCTCTCCAGCGTGCTCATTATATAGATGACTCCTCCTGCTTCCCGCCTGTGTAATGCGAGGCCCAACTCAAACTCAACAGGGGCTCTTGTATTGTAGAACGTATATCTCAGCGATTGATAGCGGCACAAGTCTAGTCAGGACCAACAGCATCCACGCAGTACGACACTTCTACTGCATCCTGTCTCACATTAGCTGCGTCACATAAAAACGTAAGTCGGGGAATTTCTCACTGGTAGTCCACTCGGCTGGAGCCCCTCGAAGATCGTAGACTCATAGACAAGATACGGGTTGCCCAACGACAATCCACCGTCACTCACGCAGCCGACAAATGGCTTCCTCGCTTCAACCTTCGACTGTACTGGCGCCCTGACGTATTCAGTGTACTGCGGGTTGCCCGGAAGATACATGTCATCTGCCACAACGATAGACCCCGGGGCCACTATACCCAATTCCTCACAAAGCTTCAAATCATTCAGGTACGAAATCTTCGAATGATCCAAGAAAATCATATCCCACACCTTGGACCCCTTGCTATTCCCGGCAATCTTCCGAAGAGACTCCCGGCATACTCCCTCCACGATCTCCACAAATCCGCCCAACCCGGCAATGTCCACCAGCGTCCTGGCGATAGACGCAAACTTAGCGTTCATCTCAAGGCTGACGTATTTCTGGCCCCCGGCTTTGCGGAGCGCGTCCCCGAACATGATCGCAGAATACCCGACATAACCCCCGATCTCCAGCACAGTCTGCGGTTTTTCCTTCACGATAAGATCTCTGACAATCTTCCCCTTGTACTCGCCTACAGTCATGAGGAAGTCTTGTGTGTGCCCAAATTCGTCGATCGCAGCGAGCATTGCCTCGGGCGAGCCTTTGATCTCGGCGTGCCGGGGGTGCGTGGTGATGAACTTTAGTAATGCGTCTTCTCTTCCGTCATTGTACTAGGGAGGTGTCTATTAGAAGAATGAAGCTCTTAATTTAAGGAGGAAAGGCGGTTCTTACAAAAACCTCCCCTTCGGGCTTGTAGAACGCTGGAGCTGCACCCATTTCGGAAGTGTATACTCAATCAAGGACCACAGCCACACAATTGATGTAAGGAGCTTTAGCTATAGAATTAAGTAAATTTCCCAATGCTCCTGTGCGGATGTTCGAAATATATAATCCGTTGAGTGCCATTATGGTTTTACATCAACCGTAGGGGTTTCCGTTTCCGGCGACTATGGGCCGTTCTCCTGTGAGGTTCGGCCAAAGCTGTATTAACAGCAACACAGCACAAAAAAGAGAGCCTAGATACTCATGTCATCATAATCTTTAAGTCATTGTATATTGGCGTAGTATAGGCAGTGGAATAATGCGCTAGACAAATGGAATGCAGTGATGTCGAAGTGTCAATTCAGATAGTTGCCCAAGAGTATGACATCATGAGGTATATTGCTTCGATACAGTAGAAATGTGTAGTATTGGAATAGATAGACATGTGCAAAAACAGCAGTACCCCGAGTGCTTTCCGTCGGTCACTACATGGCCGTCATGGGCGGCCACCTTCGCGTAGACGTTCTCATTCTTAGTGCGGGACCAGCGGGGTAGGTGAAGTTGCTTGCTGTCGCTGCTGTAAAATACAGTGGGACCTTCTAACAGCGAATCTGCTTAGATTAATGGCTGCCGCGTGGATGGCTGTGACTGGGGTCCGGACACTGATGGTAGAACGCAGGCCGCAAGGGACGTAGGACGGTCGCGCAGATGGACTAAAAGGCCGGACATTGGAAATCTTGGACAGTTTCGGACTTGCCAACGGCATTTGAGCTGAAGCGAATCACACGGTCGAGCTTGCGTTGTGGGTGAGTTATTCGCCGACTTTCTTTTGAGTTTAGGGTTAATGTGTCAGTGTGATTCGGTCGACGGTGTCCTCCGAAGAGAGGAGATCTCTGCAAATACTGAGGCTGGATGGTCCAGATTCTATGAATTTACCCTCCGGCAGGGTAGGGTCGAGGAGCACTTGTTGAACCTTGCGCAGTCGGCGAAACACATCGACATCAGACGAGCGACCATCCCCACGACCTTGGAGCTTGATTATAGTACCATAGAGGATCACGCAACCTATCCAATCCGCGTGACACTGGACAATGCCCCTCCAACAGATTTTGTCGAGCCAATGAATTCAATGTCCGGCAGCGATGCCAGCTCTCCGAGGAGTGAGGGCAGCGAGACCAGCGTGGCGTCTTCCGTAGGCGACTCGGCAATCGCGGGGTTGGACGCCGTCGTTGAAGCCAAGTATGTTTTGGGATGCGATGGAGTTCATAGCTGGCTCCGCAAGCAACTTGGCATCCGACTGGAAGGACAAAGCTCTGATTACCAGTGGGGTGTCGTGGATTTCGTTCCCATCACAAACTTCCGTTGTTCGCCCCAACTCACCGAGCTGCAGAAGGATGGTGCTAATGCCATGCGGTACAGCGGATATACGCAAGTGATGCATTGTTAAATCCAAATATGGAACGCTGAGGGTGCTCCCGCGCGAGAAACGCCTGGTCCGGGCATACACTGAGCTGTCACCGATGGCTTCTGCACGATACGCGTTCCAGCAAACTCCCTAGGTCATCATGGATCCCATCGCGGAGATCATGCAGCTATATATGATAGAAACAAACCGGATCGACTGGCACACGACTTACAAGGTATTTACTTCCATTTTCGGATTGTCCGTTATGCGCACATACTAAACAACCCCAGGTTAGCCAGCGGATATGCTCAAAGGTCTCAGACCACAACAATCTCTTCCTTGCTGGCGATGCGATTCACATCCACTCGCCGAAAGCAGGGCAAGGAATGAACGTCGGCATGCAGGACACATACAATCTGGGCTGGAAACTTGCTGCCGTGGCTCGTGGTGCCTCGCCGCCGGATATCCTAGCCACATATGCGCAAGAGAGGCTTCCCATCGCGCAACGGCTGATCCAGTTGGATCAACGCTTCTGCTGTGGCATGTGGAGTATGTCTCGTGGGAGATTCGACGAGGACCATAAGCGCGCTCTTCGAGAGGAGAATACGTTGTTTTCGGGGCTCACCACAACATACGAACCAAATTTACTCATTAGCCCGTCGTCAGAAGCTGGAGGCTCGAAAGGTGCCTCCTTTTGCAGCAGACCGTCTCTAGCCAAGGCTATCAGGCTGGGAGCCCGGATCCCCAGCAAGCTGGTCCTGAATCAGAGCGATTCGCAAACCTGCCAACTGCAACACGCTTTTCCAGTGCCGGGCAATGGAATTGATGATTTTCGGGGGTGATATTTCTAATGAACAGATGACTCGCGTAACCCGCTTAGCGGAGGCTCTCTCTCACCCAGGCTCATACTTCGAGCAACTGAACAAGGCCAGCAAGACAAGAGATGGCGGCGGTTCTGAAGATGTTTTGGGCGCCATTGAAGTTGTACTAGTAGAAGACGCTATGCTCCGAAGCTGTCCCGTACAGCCATGTGGCCTTTTGGCTTTCGATCAGCATGCCCCGTGCACTGTACATGGAGAGCTGTTCCATGCTGTTCAATGGGTCATCGAGCAACGGATCGTCAATCATGTGGTCTGCCACCCAAAGCCACATGTTGTCAAAATAGCCCGAAGCCCGCTTGGTGACGTGTAGGAGCATGCTAGCCACTTGACATGAAGATGGATTGGTCCCAGTGGTGATCGGAGGACACTGTCGGCGTCAACTCGGCCCCGTTGCACCACCCAGCCGTACGTGGACATCCCACAGCACGGCCGAGCCTGCGCTTTCTGCGGCGACGTTCCACTCCATCAGGATAACTCCCGGGGTCGGACCTTTGCTTGTCAAGATGAGATCTTGTAGCTCTACATTGCCGACCTCCCCCTCTTTGCCAACCCTAAGCATGACCGCGGCTTGCTGGCATCGCCAAAGTAACCTCCTGATGCTGCAAATTGCGACCAGGTCTCACCGATAATCTTCGCATTCTTGGGAACAGTAACGGTGTGTTTGATGATGTAGGTGCCGGCATCTACCAAGATGATCTTGCTGCCATCGCCATATTTATTAAAGGCATTCTGAACAGCGACCGTGTCGTCCGTCGAGCCGTCGCCAGCAGCACCTTCATCCTTGAGATGAACAAAGTCTACTGCGGTTTTGTCAGCGTACTGGTCCCCGGGACGTTCAAAGTAAGGACCCACATCGAGTCCCGCGACGGATGGTCCCAGGAGAGAGGGTTCTCGGTCATAGTCCTTTAGCCCGTTGGTCCAGGACCGTTTGTTTTCCTTATACATTGCCCCCATCACATACTGTTTGTTGAATCAGCAAAGATTGTGACCTGAATGGGGGCAGCTTAGGGTAGCAACATACGCTCTTGTAATATCCAGAAGAGAGGATCAGGTTATCACTCCAATGGTCTTTGATCGGACGATCCAGCCGGACATTATCCAAAACCAACCCGGTGAATCCGGAGTCCATGACATCAACTGGGATAGCCATCTCAATCGCAAAAGTCTCAGTACCGGAGAAGACCGAGTCGATAATGGTCACCGAGCCTGGGATCTGCCCGTTGGCATCGTTGTATAGTGGGAATCCAACTTTGGCGTTCTTGACCGTGATGCTCTTCCACACCCAACCCCAGTCCCAGATGACTTCGACTGCAGTATTGCAGCCATTAAAGGTCAACCGCGCGGCACTGAACGGCTGACTGCCTCCATCTGCGAGCCGTCAGTGTTGAGGCTTAGACTGCCGGGTCTCACTTACAAATCCCGAAGCTGCCGCCGGTGAAAGTGATGTCTGACATGACGCCCCCGCTACCATTCTCCGCGTACATGCTGAGTCTGTCAGGTAAAATAGTCAGCCGGCTCCAATTAAGTGCTAGTGGACTTGAAAGTCTCAACACCTACCGTGGCAGAATCTGCGATGATCTCAACATTCTCAATTGTCATCGCCTGGGCCACCTGATAGTGGAGTGCAGCCACATAGGCACCCCGATTGCTTGCCGTGATATCGATCTTCAAATTGCGAATCTGGCTATAAAACCACGCAATGTTGATATACCACTCCAGCGCATTGCCATCGGGCCCGTCTCCACCGTTATCAACGTAGACGTCCGTGGACAAGACTCCGAGACCGACAAAGCTCGAGGCGGCTCGGATGGTTGGCCAGTTATTTGCATCACCAATGATCTGAGTGCCGAAGTAAATGCTAATCGAGCTAGACACAAGGTACGTTCCGGGAGGGAAATATACGATGGCATTTTTGGTAGTGGCCCCATTGCAAGCGGCGCCACATCGCTTGCCGTCATCGATGGCCCTTTGGATTGCTGCCGTAGAATCCTACCATTGTTTAGTCCCATCGTCTATACTGTGCTTCCGTTAGGCGTACTGACTCTTTGACCTGTGGGATCAGCCCCATAGTCGTTGACGACATGTCGAAAGACCTACAAGTTGCATCATGTCAGCGTAGTCTTTGGGATCGCAGCCGTTGAGGGGATTGGCTGCCGGAGAGTAGACACCTTGTAGTCAGGATTATCTCCCCACGGGATGGCACCCTTTCGCTCGATCCCCTCCATCCAGAACGTTCCCGCCCTCCGGTATAACTTGGTCTAGTTTCCACCAGCCAAACCACCTGCTTCGAGCTCGGCCACCAGCGCTGCCGCGCGGGCAATCTGGTCGGTGATATTGAGTAGAGGCGGCGGTGCAGCCACGTCGTCACGCTTACCCAGCTTTGTCCCCGGCTTCATAGAGTAGTTGTTACGTGACGGGCGGGCAAGACGGGCTTGATTCCTCTTGGTCATTTCCGCAACGGCCTCTCTGACTATCTGACGGGCGGTTGCAATCTCGCTCGAGGTCGCGTTGTGCGCCGCCACATTTGGGGGCAAAACAGCCGCCTCTCCCTGAGGGGAGATAAACGCTTGATGATGGGCAGCATGGTCCCGGTGGGCGTGGGAACTGGATAGGACGAGGACAAAATAGGAAAGGATATATATCCAGGAAAGAGTGGCAGAAAGAGAGATCTACATCTTGCTCAGTGACAAAAGGGAGCAAAAAGGAGCGAACAAGCCAGGTCGGCTTAACAAACAAGTGTCTGGTTCTTGAGAAAGAAGGGAAATGGAGCAACTGCGCCATTTAATTTATATACAGAGCTCAGTTACTCCTAGGTTAAGCCCGAATCAGCCATGCTTGATTAAGGGGTATATCGCATATTAGACAGGGGGATATGCAGGACAACCCTGCTACTACTGATTCCTGCAGTTACAGACGCCAATGTCACCACTCTTCTAGCTCGGAAGAACAATGAGCAGAGCGTTGTTCACGCCCTTTCTCCGGGGAGACTGCATCCCATGGCGACACGTGAGCGGAGTTGTGCCTTCTTTAATGTAGTGCTGACAGCTGGTCGAGCTGCTAGTTTGACAAGGATCTCTGTTAGATTATATAGATTCCCCGAGGATGGCTCTGGATTGTCCCAATACCGTCCATGTCTGAATCTGGCGTGGATTACGGCGGTGTTTGTTGCGGAGGCCATCAGTAGGTTAATGGTAGATGAAGCTATCTATAACCCCATGTTGCCCTAGCGCAGACGTTGATAATCTGACATGCATGAACCAGTCCTCAACACCAATGATATGGGCTTGCTGGCACACGTGCACGGGGCAGCCGCAGGGTCGAACAGCAGGATGCACTGGCAGGGTCTAGGGACTATGTTCCTACATACTCCATACTCCGTGCTCCATACTATAATAGTGCCATCATTGAACAGGCCAAATGGGAGTGGGGGCCAAATGTGGCTTGTAGCTCATTTCCACCCCCTCTCAATCTGCCCAGTAACCAAGCTTATATTAGCACATTTTAAGCGATAGGATGCATTACTCTGTGCCAAGTCGCCATTATGTCCCCATCCCTTTTTGTTACAACTGGAATCTTGTCGTATTCTTAAAGCACAAGACAGCCAAGACAGCCCCAGGTTCCATCCATCCGTCCCAGTATGACATTCCGGGGCCTATGTTACAATCATGTCTGCTACGACCGTATCCACTAGTGATATCTCTCTGCAGCCGCTGACGACCCCCTTTATCCCACCGCCCGGCTGTGGCAACCAATACAGCACCACTGATTATTTGCTCTACTCCAAACATTCGTATCATCTGTCTGTCTCGAAGGAACTTCCGTCTTGCCAACCATCCGGATGGGGTGTGAGCCAGAGCTCCCGCTTTGAATATAGCCCCGGGGTCTGTCCCGCCGGGTGGACGGCGTGTAGCATCGGGGGGACGGTGTTGTCGGCAAGCCCTATGACAGCGGCAACACGCAGTGTAACCACCGCCTTTTGCTGCTCTGAGTGAGTGACGCTTGATTCCTTCTTTTCCACAGTCCTCAAACGCCAGGCGACTTTGCTTCGATCCTCTTAGCCTGTTCTCTTTGGTTTGGTGTCGCTTCCGCTGGCTGGTAGATGCACCCTTCCACTAATTATGGAAATAGGAGGTTCACCCTTTCTACCTTACACGGCCTGCCAATCCCCGGCACCTCGCTACCGGCGTGTTTCCAAAGTGTGTCCGCCACCACAGCGTTGCTTCCCCGGCAAACCATCCCGAGCCCAGTACCGACGGTACGCATGCATGAGGCATGGCACATCACCTGGGCCTCGACCGATGTGCCAACCCTTCATCCCCCACCGCCGGATATTGGTGCTTGTACTACCCTTGCACTGAGCTCCTGGGTTCCGGGCGCCGCGGTGGAAGGCGGACTGCTATGCAAGTCCTCGAGTGGAGAGCCCCCGGGGCCGACCAACACCAACAACAGCGAGAATTATCATGATAGGGGGTCTGACACGGCGACAAAGTGGTTTCTCATTGTTGGACTTCCGATTATTGCGGTTTTCTCAGTCGTCGGGTGCTGTATATGTGCTTGCTGTCGGCAAAAGAAGCGTAGAAAGAAGAGGCTGGAGCCTTCCAATCAGCAAGCTTCTTTGGCTTCGCGAGGATGTCGAGGCTCTCCCTAAAAGTCTTTGATGCCAGGAATTTTGGTGGCCCGAAAAGAGTTAAAACCACCTCCTGAGATCGGGACGGTGGAGTCACTCCTGATACTTGGTAGGAGACTCTGCAGCCAAGCGATATAATTCGTTTCACTTTTTCTGCTGTCTAAAGGGGGAGTATTTCGTCTTTGCTCCCCTTGATATCTCTCCAGTGATCGCCGTATTTATCCTCGTCGGAAACTCCCGATGATCGGTCTCTGTTTATAAAAAGCTAAACGATGAGAATATTAGAAAGACAGCCGTAAGAAGAGAGACTAAATCATTAACTTTGTATGCACAGAACCAAAGCAAATTTCTGACACCAGGTTAAAATCCAGAGTTTCAAGCATTGTGGTGGGCTCCTTAAGGCCTATCTTGTGTGCTGTTACTGGGTCCTATCCGCGTAGGCCGCAAATTAATGGCACTTTTCAGGTGAAGTATCCGTGAGGCTGTTGTCGGGGAATGATGAGACCGGCCCTAATATATGCCAGACCTCCTGGTGCTCTGGCCAATTTGGTGCTACTAAGATCACATGTATGAGGTCTCAGCTTTGCATTGTCCAGTCAGATCGTGTGAACAGAAGGCGAATTCGCCAGCACGCAGCTTCCAGAATGCTGAGTTCCCAGGATCATGCCTCAAGGCTCACGAGAACGCCATTCCACTATCCAGGTTTTCTTGTGCTCCCAGGAACCCGTCCGAGACTCTAGAGAAGCATCTTTCATGTCCCGAGAAAAATGCTTGAGGTCCAAGGAGGCCAAAAGAGCCCGCGATCCGTCTGCTTGTCCACCAGAGCCACTAAGGCCAAACCAGTGATTACTATGCTTAATACGTTCTTGTTTGCCCGCTGCTTGCTCTGCTCATTGTCTGCATAGTTCGCTCATAAGACTTGCCAAATCACATGCAAACGTAACTTGTTAGTTATCCACATTCCCTTACTCTTGCAGTTACCGTTATTGGGAGCACATTGAACAGAACCATCTGGCCAGGTTTAGTCGGTGTCACAACGATTTGGAACATGTATGTTATAAACCTATCCACAACATAGTGTGGATTATCAAGAATATGAAAAGAGATTCATCTATAAACCACTGGATGATCATCTATATTAAATATGGAAAACAATAGAGAAGGCGTATGCATGAACTAGTAGCTATCAAATGCTCGATTATCAAAGTATGAAGGTTGCGTGATTGACGTGGCTGAAGCTGCATGAGTGGCAGACTGACTCTCAGATACGTAGTTTAACCCCATCCAGAAACCATACCTTTGTCGAGCAAATTGGACTTCTCGCTGCCTTGAATGGATGATAACACAACACTACTGTATAATGCTAGTTGGTCTTTGATCTCTTCTGCTGGGGTTGCATGCCTGTACACCATATGAATGACCTCAATAGTGAGGGCAGGCCGCCTATAGAAAGTAAGGAAACTGGTAGGGAGAAGTGGGTAATTGCTGCCCCCCACCAACACAGTATATAGTAGACTCTGCGCGGAACAGGTCTTCGGTATATAACGCTGAACGCGGGCAAGATTGATGGCCAGTGCCTAACCGGCCCTAGCCGGCCAGATAAAACTTAAATAGCCTGGATATCATTGAAACAGGGCAAAATGCAGATGGGCAGTCACATTCTCATACGTCCAGGATTCGCTTGAGAGCTGCGCATCTTACTATTTTGCATCACATAGTCCGGTGGATTGACAAGAGTCCTCACTGTCTCGTCAATCTGTAACATACGTGTTCGTACAAGGTGTAGATGTCTCTTAAAAGACGCGAAGTGTCTAGTGCTTGTGGCGTAGCGTATTGAAACAGCCTGGGGAACGCACATGTAAAGTTGGGCATCATTCATATATTGTGGCATCTTTACCATTTGGATTAGATCCACAGCGTGAGCCCGAAGCAAGCATGTCTCGCCAATCGAAGAGATAAACACTAGCCCACAGCTAATCTCAAACTCTGATAGCCTTCCAAAATGCAGGACTCTCATGGCCTTGCACCACATTTGAGATTGGAACCAGATGGGCAGCCGAGTTGGTCCTATCCTCTTGAATTTGACGGATATAGGATTGAGCAACCTTGAGCCACAGCGCCTTCTCCCGCCTACTCGCCCCCGAGCCTTGCCAAACCCAAATCCTGCTACCGGTGTCGCAGAGAAAAACGTCGTTTCCATCCAAGTCTGACGGGGAGATCTGCTGACCATCCTTGATGAGATCGAATGAAATCGCCCCTGTGGCGTCACTGAGTCGGAATAACTTGTGGGACTGGGACGCGTCGCTATCCCGATCATCGCTTGCAGGGAAAGTGCCAGGCTGTGGTGCCTGGAAGGATGACTGCTGGATTTCCTTGCCGCCGAGGAGATCCACGATGGTTTTGGATCGGGACTCCAGCTGGGAAAGAACCTCGACGTCGAGATGTTTAGCAAGAGTAATATCGTTGACCACCTGGGCGGCTTTTGCCTTTTCCATCGGGCTACAGTTCTTGCCCTGCCAGACCCAGATTTTCTCGCCCTGATCCAAGACAAAGACATCATGATCGTCGAGACTCTGCCAGGTCGGCTCGACCTCGTGC